AGGAAGAGGCAGTTGTGGGGGAGGGAGGCCTCTGTAACCCAGACACCAGTAAGAACGACTCATCCACTCATGACACCTGGATGAGGATTCCCTGTGAGGATGAGCTGACACATGGAACCCTTGAGGCAGCCTAACACAAAGGGGAGACTCTCAAATCAATGAGAAGGGTGACAAACAGGAAAATCGAAATAACAGAAAACACAGATTCTAAAAGCAGTTGTGTGAACTTTTTATCCCTACTGTGATTCCAGAGCATGAAAATTAAACATTTTTCTCTTATTTTTTCTGTCAAGTAACAATAGCCAAGCAAGCTAGACATCCATGAGTCTGTGAGCTGACTGAAGGAGGAGGTTAGAACCAGTTGTGTATGAAGATGATCGGTGTTCTGCTGGCCCAACGCTTAACAAAGTGCCGAGGCTTAGAGGCCTTAAACAACCGAAACTTACTGCCTTCAGTCACAGAGGCTCAAAGTCCGAGATTTGATTGCATCTGAGGCGGGTCTCTTTTGAAGTCTAGAATTGAAGTGCCAGCAGGTTTGGTTCTCAGCTTGCAGATGCCTAGATTCTCCTTGTCTTAGTATGTGTGTGCCCAACTCAGTTATGAAATACCTTCTACTTACAAAGCACCAGCCAGATACCAGCCCATACCTCATTTTACCTTTTCTCTTCATAGATGTATTTCCAAATGCAGTCACACTCTGAGGTATTATGTTAGGTCATAGGACCCCCCCAGCTTAGGAATTGTTGGGTTACTCAGTTCAGTCCATGATATTTTGAACTCCTGTGTTTTTTGTTGTTGTTGTTTTTGTTTTGTTTTTTTACTTTTAAGTCCAATTTTGCAAATTTCTGATGGTGTAACAATGGTTTGGTTGCCTTGTTTTCTCTTTTTGTGAAACGGACATAACAATCAGTATCAGTGTCATAGGGTTGCTATTAGAATTAAACAAATCCATGCATACAAAGCTTAAAAATAAGCGCTTGGCTGAAACGATGGCTCAGTGGTTAGAGCACTGGTTGTTCTTCCCGAGGACCTGGGTTCGATTCCCAGCATCCACGTGGCGGTTCATATCTGCCTGTAACTCCATTTCCAGGGACATTTCCAATGTCCTCTTCTGCCCTCTACAAGGACCAGACACGCGCATAGTAAACATATATACATGCAACTGAACACTTCTACACATAAAATAGTAAAATAAGATAATTAAGTGCAAAATATTTCGAGAAATAAAGAAGGGAAACCCATAAAACAAGAACGGGAAATTTCTGAGCTCCAGAAGCCCTCCTGGGGACAGAAGGGTAATGTTCAATCCTCTTATATTTTTCCATGCTGACAAGGACACAGTTCCCACCTAGGAGGACCATAAGGCTCCCCCTGTTCTATCTATTGGTCAGAGACAAGGCTTTGGATTCCCCGTGGTAGGAGTTGGCTGGAATTCCTGCATCATAAGTTAATTTTGAAATTGTCCTACATCCTAGAGAACACAGATTTTATAAGATGAAAGAACTAACGTCTAAGCAAAAACAACAATGGCTAAGAGAGGGTGAGAGACCCTTGGGAGGCAGAGGCAGGTGGATCTCTGTGAGTTCGAGGCTGGCCAGAGCGAGTGCCAGGATAGGCTCCAAAGCTACACAGCGAAACCCTGTCTCAAAAAAACAAAACAAAAAAAATAAAAGCAAAAAACAAAAAACAAAAGAAAAAAAGAGAGAGTTGTATAGCTTGCTCTTGTGGAGGTATAAACCCTGGCAATTATATGTTGTTGTTGTTGTTTTAATTTTAATTATTTTAAAAAGTAGATTCGGAGAACAAAGGAGAAATTATAAGACTAAAAATATTTTTTGAAAATCCTAACTAGCTGGGTATGGTGGTTCACACCTTCAATTTCAGCACCCAAGAGGCCAAGGCAAGCAGATCTCTGTGGGTTCCAGGACAGCCTGGTCTCTATAGCAAGTTCCAGACCTCCCATGGCTATGCAGTGAGACTCTGTCTTAAAGAGAATTTTGAGCTAAATAAAAGTTAAAAACAATTTTTTTAGGCACAAATTTTGATTTAGTGATTTGGGAAATAGGCTTGGGGAAGGTCTTGAATGAAACAGCAGGAGGTAAAGATACAGAAAATATGAAAAAGGTTCAAACCCAGACACAGGGAGGAAAAATCACGAAAATGTAGGAGCTATTAACCAGGCCATTGTGAGGGAGAGCACTGGGAGTGGAGGAGAGGAAGTGTTCAAAGAAACCACAAGTGAGGTGTTTTTCAGAGTGGAAGGAAGAGTCCCGAGTTTGAAAGCATGCTGAGTCCTAGGCCAGCTCAACAGAATTCACATTCAACCCAGAGCTCAGCTGCAGGACACCAGAGACAAAGGGAAAAAATCCTGAGTGCCTTCAAAGAACAGACAGGCCCATCAGTCAGCATGACCTCAGCAAGCCAGGCACCATCCTGTTGACATGAGGCTCGTCACACTTCCTACCTCCCTTCCAGAGAGATCTCTGCTGAGATGTTCTGTCTCTGCCTCGGAGACATTTTCCTCCTCTTCGATGGACTGCCTCAAGAGGTCCTCCTGACCCCACTAGTCCTCTCAGTCTTCCTCAGTAAACCATGGCAATCGGCCCTGCTATTGTCCCTGCCTTCGCCAGCTCAGCTCCTCCTACATAAGCAATAGGCTATCCAGAGACCTCAACTGTGACATTCCTGCTTCTTCCTTCCCAGTGAGTATGGTGCTAACTATGCTGCATGTGTTAAACAAAATTTTGTTGAAGTAAATTTGGAGTTTATATTAAGAGATTTTCTACAGATTTGAAGCACTGGGGTTAAGAGGCAGAAAGGCATTGGGGGAAGAAAGTCAGACACACCCACACCGTAGAACATGGATGTAAGCTCTCAAAGGAGACTCATCCAATGAATGTTCTTAATCAGTTGCTCCTTTGGACCTAAATATAAGTTAAGTTTGCACATGGGATCAAGCATTCCACATTAGTTTGAGATTTTTCCACTTGGTGATCCAGCTAGGACAGAGTCACCCTCTTGCCATGCTTTGACTTTAAAATATGTTCCCACGTCCATGCATGCGCCTGCATATGGTGGCCAGAGGACAGATTCCCTATTGTTATTCACATGCTACCCACCTTCCTTTTCATTTTTAATTTATTATTACTTTCATTATTATTGTTTTTTGAGACAAAGTCTCTCTATGTATTTATGTAGTCCTGACTATCCTATACTTGCCATGTAGACTAGGCTGGACTTGAACTCACAAAGAACCTCCTGCCTCTGTCTCCTGCGTTCTGGGACTAAAGGGGTGAGCTACCACATTTAAAGGGGTGGCTCACCTTATTACTGTCAGCCATATTTTAAGATGGGGGTCTCTCACTGTCTTGGAGCTTACTGATTAGGCTAGACTGGCTGACCAGAGAGCCCAGGGGCACCTCCTTGTCTCTGCCTCTGGAGTGTTGGAATTACAAGTGCACATGCCACCATGCATAGACTTCTGTATGAGCTCTGGGGACCCAACTCCATTCTGAGTCTCATGACCCTTGATAGGTCTTTTCCGTAGCACCCACCTTCCCTCACTGTTATACATTGTGTACTCTTCTGCACCTGCTCTCTGTGTGATCTGTGGCTCAGGGAAGGAAGGTTCTCCAGACTTCTGCCAAGTGGCTTCTTCATTTTCATCTTGATGTTGCTCTCTCCCCATCCCTATCCTATTGCCATGACTCCCTGCTGAGAGCTGTGGTCCAGGAAAGCTTTTGGGGGAGCAGACAGGTGATGGTCAGTCAATCTTCTGTCCTGTCTTCAATGCTGGTAAGAGACAGAATCCCTGTCCAGAAGGAACTGCAAGCTTCTCTTTCTACTCTATGGACTGGTTGGAGACGAGGGGTCTTTGGATTCCCTGGAGCAGAAGCTGGCTGATTCCCTTCATCAGAAGGAGTTTAGTTTGAAATTGCCATGCACTATAGAAGACACAGATTTTTAGGGAGTTAAAATATAAGGTTTGTTTGTGGGTTGGAGCCCAGAGATGACATTGGGTCCCTGGAGCTAGAGTTACGCAGCTCCATATGGGGGCTGTGAACGAATCCTAAGTACTGAGCCATCTTCAGACTCTAATTTAATTCTAATACATTTACAATATCATATTTGTATATAATGCACTGTCATTACACACAGAGAGACACAGACACACACAGACACACACACAGACACATACACAGACACACAGACACACACACACACAGACACAGACACACACACACACACACACACACACACACACACACACACACGCACGCACGCGCGCGCGCTTCTCTTACCCCCTGTTTCTCCAAACTAGTCCCTCTCCTCCCATCGAGCCTCTGCCCTTCCCTTCCTCTCTTTCCCTCCTTCCCTCCCTCCCTTCCTCATCCTTTGGTTCCTACAGTCCCTTCCACCTCCTCTTCCACAGTGTTCCCTGGACCCTGGAGAGGGTGACATGGATGTCCCATTTAGAGCTAAGCTGTCACTCACTCTCAACACTTGGACCAGTTACGGGTCCCTTCTTTGACCATCTCTTTAAGATTTTCAGTTATTGACAAAACTCTTATTCCAGTTCTTGAGACTGCACGGCAGTATTAATTCAAGAGACACTATGTGGGGAAAGTCGTACCAGGAGCTCGAGAGTGGAGAGAAGCATCCTTGTCCTCTGCCCTGGTCCCCAAGATCTAGGTGGCTTGAAGCCCTGCTTCTCAGACTACCTGAGTTGCTGGAAAGTCTGAGCAAAGTCCCTGGAGAATTGGACTGACTGCTTTGAATGCCCTACTCTTATGCAGTCACCTTATCTGGGATTTAAGTCCTTCTCCCAAGACCAAGTCCCTGCTATGAGCATGCCAGAGGTGATTTCTCTCTCTTACCTCATGGAATAAGCTCTGCCTCCTAAAAACAGTCCCAAGCTATTGGGCATCTAGGCTCAGAGGAGGAGAGGGCTTATGTGACTAGCCGGCTTTGACTTCTTTTTGTTTTAAATCCCTGTTCAGGTTAAAAGTGAGAAAAGCCGGTCCTCCCTTCTCCATTTGGATTACAAGCTCAAAGGGACTGCTTATAACCTGGAGGAATGATCTCCGTGCTCCCGGGGGGAGCACTGCCCACAGTACGTGCATAGAGAGGCTTTGAGAGGAATTAAGGTATGATGAAGCAGAGGTGACTATATCACAGCTATGGAACGTGGGGAGCATAGTAAATTAGGAGTGGCTTGTCCCTAGCAGCCTGAAAAGTTGGTGGGCAATAGGACCTCGTGGACAGCAAAGTCAGCGTTTGTGTGGCCAATGCCCAAGCTTACAGCTGCATCTGTCTGTCATTCCTGCCAGCCTGCCTGGAGCAGCTGGGAAGGTGAAAGGAAGGAAGAAATTATGGAAGAGAGGGAGACGGGGTTGTAGGAATGAATGCCAGCAGAGCAGGAAAGTCTGGGGTGTAGTGCAGGCAGACTCCAAGCAGTTGTATGGACACCACTATCTTTGCTGGTTTCCACCTATGACCATGTGTTTGTGTGAGCATGCGCCTCTGTTTATGCTGTGGTGTTCAGCACTGCAGGACCCATTTATCTCCTGGACTCAGCTCTGGGTTGCTACGGTTCCTGCCACAAGTTAAAGGTGAACCCACCCTCAACCCCCAGGCAAGTGCCTTTCAGTCTAGAGTTCTGAAGGCTCGACAGCTGCCAGCTCATGCATAAGCTTGCTTGCCGATGAATACACTTAGGTGAGGTCCCTAGGTCAGCAGAAAAGTTTTAGGAACACCCACTTCTAGCAGCAGAAGTGGGGGAAGGATAGAAAGGAGGGAAACAGATAGCTGCCCCCACACTAGCAGCCTCTCACGGAGCTTGCCCCACCAAAGTGAAGGGGGTGCACAGAAGAAAAACACCAACAAACAGTCCAGATCCTACTTCCTGGCTGGGCCAGCTGTCAAAGATACAGAGGAATGTTAGGAGGGTACCCACTGAAGTTTCCAGGTTCTCATGACCAGGGACAAGGAACTGCACTAAGGACATGTGGTAGGTAACAAAAATAGTTTATTAAGAAAGAGAAAGAAGTCTCTGAGAATGGGAGCAGGCCAGTGAGCAGGGTCATGAGTCTCGTGCCCCTTTGAAGGTATTTACACAGCATCCCCTGTGTTTGCTGTAGGCATTTCTCAGCATGCTGTGTTTGTTACGCATGGCTTATTAGATTAGGAAAGTTCTCCAGTTTTTTATGCCAACTGGCTCCTTCCATATATTATTCTTGTTGTCTCTCTGGACATCTTTATTCTTTTGTTACATAAACTAACAATGAAATTGGTATGTCCATGGAGGAGTACTGGAAAGTACATGAACATCATCTGTAATAACATTAGTTAAAACTGATCGCCAGGGGTGCTTATTGACTTACTATACACCTGCGTGTGCTAGTGCATGCCTATAATCTCAGAACTTAGAAGGCTAAAGCAGCAGAATTATGAGTTTGAGGCCAGTCTGGGATACATGGCAAGCTCTGGGCCAGTCTGAGCTACATGTGAGACTGTCTAGAAAAACAGAGAACTAAATAAATGTTAAAATAAAAAAATAACAATTCTGTGCACAAAAGATATTTACTGTGCTTCATCTGTGGCACCATGCTAAGTTTGGGGAATGCATCAATGAGATTTTGTTTGGTTTTATCTTTTAACAGAGTTTTTAGCATTTAGTAAACTCACTAAAGCGGGGCCTTCTTTGCCATCTTGTACCCTACTTTCTCTTGCATTACATAGCATTTAAACAGAACTTTAACTTTTTTTCTTTCTTCTCTGTGGCCTTTCTGAGGCAGAGTCTCATTCTATAAGCCAGAGCTGGTCCAGAACTCATCATGTAGCCCAGGGTGGCCTCTTAGGAGGACACTCTTGCCTAAGCCTCCCAAGTGAGCCACCACATTAGGCCATTTTCTTAGTCTCCTGTACTTAAGGCACTCTGAAACAACACTCTTCAGGGACCCACTGGTCAGCTGGTGAGAAAACAAGGCGTCAAGGAAGTGTGTCACCAGGGGGTGGGCTTTGGTGTTTCAAAAGCTCAAGCCAGGCCCAATGACTCTCTTTTCCTGATGCCCGTGGGTCTGGATGTAGAACTCTCAGCTACTTCTTCAGCACCATGCTTCCTACCATGATGATAATGGACTAAACCCCTGAAACTCTAAGCCAGCCCCCAGTTAAATGTTTTTCTTTTTATAAGAGTTGCTTTGGTAGTAGTGTCTCTTCACAGCAATAGAACACTGACTGGGACGGTGAAGCTTCCATGGAGAAATCCCAAGTCCACATTGACTTGACTTATCTTTCAGAACTAGTGAGAGAAACAGGGGCTAAGACCAGAGCGTGAAGACCTAGAAAAGGGCATAGAGAAGGGTCACTGTGACCAGGGAGGTGGACAGGTATGGCAAACCTCCGAGGAAATAAAGAACTCAGTGTGTGTGCTTAGCTCTGAGCCAGGGAATATTCTAGACCTGAGGAGCCAATGGGAAGATATCATGAAAGGACTTTGTCCAGTATAAGAAAGGAAATAAAAGGGAGCCCTTTCTCCATCTTTGGCCAAGACTAAGACAAAAAATATGATTTGAAACCAACTTGACTTTATCTGTCTTTTGATATGTCCTGTCCTCAGCCCATCCATGTTCTGCAGAGGACTGGAACAAAGTGGGTTATGCTTTTGTCTTTGTGCCCCAACTGACTTGTTCCTTTGGGAAAGGCCATGGAGCCTTGGACATGGTGGGGCCCGAAGATCAGAGTTCATCACCAGGGGCTGACATCTCCTAGGTCTATAACCAAAGATCAGATGGTTTGTCTGCTACCATCCTTATAGACGACAGCCATCTGTCCATCAGTGCATGGAGACACCAATGGTGTGTAGGGAAGTACCTCAGATTAGAGTAAGCAAGGCATGAAGATCTTTGCTTTCTGTAGGTAGCTGTTGAACAAGAGAGGGGGTGGGGTGGGGAATGAGATATATTTGGAAATTGACATGGCCATGAGAACATGTGTGGGAGTGTTTGAAGAGAAATGGAAATTGGAAAACTTTTAGAGGCAAAATGAGGATTCTATAAGTTATTTTGAAGTAGCTCTTGGCTACAAGGATTAGGAAGAAGGGTGGCCTCCATCTGACATTGGACAGGATGGTTGTTCATGCTATATTTCCTGTGTAAGTGTGAGCTGGCCTTTGTGTTCTAAAAGAGCCTTTCCTAACTGCTATCAGATATGCATGTGTCCTGACTAGGTTTTTAATTTTATTTTGTCAACTTGACACAAGCTAGAGTCATCTGAGAAGAACCTCAATTGAGAAAATGTGGCTAAGCCTCTGGGGCATTTTCTTGATTAATGATTAATGTGGGAGGCCCTGCCCACTGTGGGTGGTATGATCCCTGGGCAGGTGGTCCTAGAAAGCAAAGTGAGCAAGCCATGAGGAACAAACTGATAGTCAGCAATCCTCCAGGGGTCTGCTTCCTGCCTTGAGTTTCTGTCCTGACTTTCTTTAGTGATAGAATAAACTACAGTTGGTTTTGGTCATGGTGTCTATCACAGCGATAAAGAAGCAGACTAAGTGGGATTGGAATGTAAGAAAAAAAAAAAAAAGCAGACTAAGAAAATGCACAAGTCCCCTGTTTCAGAGCCTTCTGGCTGATGCAGTGCTGTGGTCAGGGCTTCACAAAGGGGGCTCCATTTGACTTCTGAGCACTTTCACACAGCTTATGATTGACACGAGGTTTTCATCTTCATTTTCAGAGAACCTGAGAATCTAAGGAGTCATTTGGCTGAGCCAGAAGGCAGCCAAGCTCTACGTGCCTCCAACCTGTTCCTCCCCAGGAATATTACATTTTTCCAAACCCCAGGAAGTCTGTTCCCACTGAGTGTGTGTTGCTCAATGCATCCATTTGTAAGAAACAACTTGACTCATGATGCCCCAGGTCATCTCTGATTCAGGAGTGACTGGATTGGTAGCTGGCAGACTTCTTCCAGACTAACGAGAGACAGCATGCTAATTAGGCCAGGGCTGGGCCTGGACACTGATACTGTCCCTGAAGTGTGCCTAGTCAGATGTGTGGGAGGCAAATGGGAGCACTCCTTTAGGTGTATATAGGCACGAACTAACAGAGGGGCTGAGACTGGAATCCAGGCCAGGGGACTACAGGAGCCACAGCGACCTTCTAGAAACCAGATCCCCACTGTGTCTGTCTTTACAAGCCCAGACCTCCCTGGATCCTGTTTGGCACATGCTCCTGGAGGTATGACTTATCTCTAAATTGACCCATATGTCCCTTTGTTGACATAAACAGGAATTCTTGCTGCCAGGGCATCGTGTGAAGGATGTTGTTGTGCGTGGGGAAGCTTCCAGTGAGATCAGTTTAAAGATTATACTGGTCTCATAGTATCTCAGCCCATGCTGGTGGAACACACACCTTCATGGGTTCTCAGGTACCAAGAGTACATGTAGGGTGGGGACAGGCAGGGAAGGGACTCAGGTCAGCAACTGAGCTGCTGATTCTACTCATTTTTGTTTGTTTGTTTGTTTGTTTTTCGAGACAGAGTTTCTCTGTGTAGCTTTGGAGCCTATCCTGGCACTCGCTCTGGAGACCAGGCTGGCCTCAAACTCACAGAGATCCGCCTGCCTCTGCCTTCCCAGTGCTGGGATTAAAGGCGTGCGCCACCAACACCTGGCTGATTCTACTCTTGAATGACTTGCTCTAAACTTGTAAAGAGAGTGCTCAGTGCATCAGTTCCATGTGATTCAAGGCCCCCATCAGTTTGGGACTGGAATGCCACCAAGCCCTGGATCTAGGTGGAGTTTTGTTGAACTGGCTGGAGATGTTTTTTCTTGAGGGAGAGGCTGACCACACTTTGGTCTAATGGCCCTGCACGAGGCTGCCTTCCTTGGACTGGCACTCACCTAGGGTAGACAACTGCTATTCCTTGGAGAAAAGACACCATTCCAGGGCTGGAACCCATAGGTAGTGTCCATCCAGACTAACTAACTCAGAGCAACTGAAAACTCACTAACTGACTCAGACCAACTAAAAACTAACTCAGAACAGAGGCTTTTCTGTGGATAGAAACAGACCTCCCCATAACTACTGACATTTGGCTTTTCTTTGGGGTCCTGATGGGAAGGGCAGGGCCTGGTTGCTTGTGTTTCCTA